CTAATTATTTAATTAATAATATATTACTAATATAATTTTTCCTAATAAATTTGATAATAAAACTGTTATTATATTATTATTATTATTATATTATTATTATTATTATCATTATTATTATTATTGTTGTTGTTGTTGTTATTATTATTATTATTTTAATTTTATTTTATACTTGAACAATAATATTTTTATTATGCATGAACAATAATATTATCAATTATATTATAGAATATAATACCATATATAATATTACCAATTAATAGATTTTATTTATTTCCATTTGACATTTACTTACCAAATAAGTTTTACTACAAAGTTTTGGGGGGGAAATTTGTTAGGAGGATTTTACTTTTATATATATATAGATTTGACATTTACTTACCAAATAAGTTTTACTACAAAGTTTTGGGGGGAAAATTTGTTAGGAGGATTTTACTTTTATATATATATAGATTATGTGTTTGAAGTTAACATAATATATGCTTGTAAATAAATTGAATATACATAATACCACATTAACATATTATGTATATGTAATTAATATATATTAAGTGTCTTCAATTTATTTAGAGACATATTAACTGTCGATACATAATCTTTTAATTGTAGATACAAAATTTAAATGTCATTTTGAACCAATCACAATATAATGTGGACCTTGGTCCAAACGAAGGAGATATGAATTCTATTTAGGCGGGATACAATTTGTCATTTTTGGTTCGCTGATTTATTGTGTGACTCATAACAACAAGTGAGATATAATTTTTATTATGGTCTTGTTTTAGGGACAACAAAAAAATTAATAGTCACTATTTAATGGCGTGTATTGGTTAAATCATGTCTTATTACCTGGTAAAAGACCAAAAATTCACAATGAACTAAATTAGCATAAGTTTATCATAGCTTACCAATTCAAACTAAAAAATCAATAGGTCAAATAGGTGGGATATAATTTTCGTATATGAATGCCACGAGTTAAATTATTGACAACACTCTCTTAGTCAAACATAATTACAGTCTTTTTAATGCGACTTACTCCTTTGAACGATTACACAATAGTGGAGTTTCGCCACTTCAGTTTTTTTTTTTTTTTTTTTTTTTGGGTCATATATCCTTTTATACTATGAAATCTAAAGTGTACAATTTTGTGTTGAGTTTTGAAGTTGAGCATTTTCAGTTTGTTGAAAAATTAGCTAAAAATGTCATATAAATTAGTTTTTTTAGACAAAAATTGAGTGGAGTCCACTTTCACTTTGGGTCGGTCACCGCCAATTCGAGTTCTCTTAAGTGAAATATTTAATTTGATATATTATACACTCAAAACGGATAATAGATGAATGATAAAATAATTATAGAAGTGTATCAATTTGAGTTGAAAAATATAATTTGATATTTATAAATACCATTGTCCCACATTGAAAATAGAATATGGGGTCTCACTATTATATATACAATTATTATTATCTTTGAAAAATTTTAAATTGTATATTATATAAATTATCTATCGCACATAGAAATGCAAATCAAATTTTAAAGACAAAAACTTGTGTGAAAGTATTACCCAATTCTAAAATGATACTCGAAGTGTTTTTCATATAATTTAAAACCTATTTTTAAAAAACAATATTGGTAATTAGTTTCACCATTGGACTACTGACTAATTTTGCCAACTCCATATCGAACCCATGAGAAAATGGGAAATTATAATAGTCCAAAGTTGAAATTAGTTGCACAATGTGATCATGTAGCATTGTTGAAAAGCTCATTCAACTTTTAATTGTATCTCCTATCACTACTCTACTTGATTCAACGTAATTGAAATTTTATAGTAGACTATATCTTATACAAATGGTACCACCTAAGCACATATAAATCGCTAAATAAACATTAAAAGTGCACAAATGATAGATGAGGGTGTTCTCTCCAAGAAACTGTTCAAGGTTCCAAGACTAACCAGTTCTGAAACCAGTCTCGTATGGTGATGGATTCGCCGGACAACGGCCAACTCCGGCCACCTGTTCAAGAACTCTTGAACGCACACCGAAGAAGTCGAAGTTAGCAGATACCCAGACCCAAGTTCAGATGAATAACCAGACCCCAGAGATAGTCCCTGAAACACTAGCGTCACCAGACGAAGGATTCGCGAAGGAAAGTCTGAATCAACAGCCGTCTACAAGCTATAAGGCAAGTTTACACAATTTCATGCAGTACGAAAATGAATACTCTGAAGCCCAAGTGGACGAATCCTCAGACGACGAGGAACTTGAAGTGGACGATGACCCGGAATGCCCCAGAATCAGATTCTCTAAGAAGGAAAAGGAAAGGCTAAGGCGGCCTTGGAAGCGCACGATGATCCTGCGTCTGCTAGGTAAGACTGTCGGCTACAATTACCTCCATCGTCGTTTACAGTCTCTTTGGAAGCCCGAAGGCCACCTGGAACTCATAGATTTGGAACAAGATTACTTTCTTGCCCGGTTTGAATCCCAGAGAGACTACGATGTCGCGAGGTTCGAGGGTCCTTGGATGATATTCGACCACTACCTTGGTGTCCAGGAGTAGGTGCCAAACTTCCATCCTCACTCAAATACAACACAGAAAATTCTAGTTTGGATTCATCTCCCTGACCTATCGATCGAGTACTTCGATGAGAAAACCTTAAGGAAAATTGGGAATAAAATAGGCAGGACGATCAAAATTGACGTTACAATCGGACTAGCTACTCGTGGGAAATTCGCAAGAATTTGCGTAGAGGTTGATCTAACAAAGCTTCTATTAGCCAAATTCACGATCGAAGAAGATGTTCTACCTATAGAGTACGACGGCATACACTCGGTATGTCTTAGATGTGGTATCTACGGCCACAGGAAGGAGCAGTGCGGCCAAGAACCAGAATTGGATAAGCAGGCTACATGCAATCACATGGAGGTTGACGCTGGGATTGGAAAGGCAGATGATGCGGATTATGAACCAGTGGCGACCAAGCAATTACCAGTGGCCAAACCACATGCCACGGAGAAATTTGGTACCTGGATGTTAGTGAAAAGGAAGGATAGGAGGCCAAATAAGAAGGGTGAAGGAAGATGGGGAATCCAGAAGCTAGCTATTGTAGAAAAAGAACGGGAACCCACCATCACCAAGGTCTACAATAACCAACTCTTTGCCACCCGCTTTGCTCCTCTGGGAGAGATGGATGGGGATGCCCTAGTTGAGGAGGAAAGTGGGGAGCCTATCATGCATGTGTCGGAACAAAGAGCTGTCGAGAAAGAACCTGTTGGGTACCAGAGTACTAAGGACCACCCGACTTCTCTGTTATCGCCAATTGGGTTCCCTCAGATGATTAGGACACATCACGCTCCAACTGTAAAAAGGGCGAGGTGGCAGAACAGGCACCCCAAGGAAGGCAGCTGCGGAGGCTGAGCATATCGTGGTTAGGGGCTCAACAAGGGGCAGAGCAATTACACGGATTGTGGTGCAGCATAGGCCTATTGATCCTAGAATATTGTCACCGGGTTCTACATCGACACCTAGACGCAATGTTCCAATCGATGATTCAGTAGATTTTTTTCATTGTGATACTCCTAAAGACGCAATGGAGGACGATGCAGGGGTTAATAGCCAACTTGGTTCGGTTGCGGAACTCCGCAAGCTCAATTGAGCTTTCTTTTTCTCAACTTGTTTATCATGAATTTACTTATTTGGAACTACCAATGGGCGACGTCTAGAACATTTCGCCGCACACTTGAGCAATATCTTAAAGATCATAAACCAGTTATTGTCTGCCTCCTAGAGCCTAAAGTTTCTAGGGAGCACACTAATGACATTTGTTTTGAGCTAGGCTATGACGAATGGCTTCGTATTGAAGCATTCGGCTTTTCCGGTGGGATTTGGGTGCTTTGAAAAAATACCATTTCGGTAGAAATCATGCATACACATCCCCAGTTTGCTGTCTTAGGAATCACTGAGGACAACTCTAGTTCTTGGAACCTGTCAGTTGTCTATGGGAGTCCAGACCACGCTCTTCGAAGAGAGCTGTTTGCTGAACTTTCCCATTAAAACCTGAGCCTCGAAGGGGCTTGGTTATCTGTTGGTGATTATAACTTCGTCTTAAATAGAGATGAAGTTCTAATAGTGACAATTCTCGGTTGCCTGTTGTGCAGGTTTAGCAACTGGATGTTCAGGGAAGGATTTATAGACATGGGTTACGAAGGTGCCAAGTTCACTTGGTGCAGAGGCATAAATTCCACGTCCTACAGGGGTGCCCGTTTTGATCGCGCTATGTGTACCATGGAGTGGAGAACTCAGTTCCCAGATGCAGTTGTCACACACCTACCCATGGTCAGTCAGACCATGCCCCCTTACTAGTATGCACAGCTCAGCCAAAGAATGATGGTAATCCTTGGAGGTTCAAGTATAATGCAGCATGGGCTACCCACCCGGGATTTATGGAGTTCGTCAAAAGTAATTGGAATTCGAATGTTGAATTGGATCAATGCAAAAATGAGCTAGCAGCCAAGTTCAGGTGCTGGAACAAAAGCACGTTGGGAACATTTTCCATAGGAAGAGAAGAGTCCTTGCAAGGTTGGAAGGAGTTCAGAATAGCTTGACTTATAATCACAGGTCTGACCTGATCAAACTGGGAAAAATGCTCCCAGAAAGAGCTGGAAGAAATCTTATTTCAAGAGGAACTATTTTGGTTTCAAAAATCTCGGGAGGACTGGATTAGCTCGGGTGACCGCAACACTAGGTATTATCATGCTGCATCTGCTGCGAGAAAGTCTAGATCCAGGATCACAAGGATTAAGAATGAACAGGATGTCTGGCTACTAGATGAGGATGAAGTTATGTCTCATATCTGCAACTATTTCACTCAACTCTTTATAGAGGACAACCAAGGACCAAGGCAGGTCTTTTGGTCAAAATCTTTCCCGACTCTACAGGACCGCAATTGACAGAAGGTCTACGAGCCTATCTCGAAGACAGATGTCAAGCAAGCACTGTTCAGCATGGCTCCTTTCAAAGCACCTGGGCCGGATAGCTACCACGCAGGGTTCTTCCAAAAATCATGGTCAGTAGTGGGAGATGATCTAACGAAATTTGTACTTGAATTTATGAAATTCGGGATCCTACCAGATGGCTGCAATAACACAATACTGACCCTGATCCCCGAGATCTCAAGTCCAAAAACGGTCAAGCACCTCTGGCCGATTAGCCTTTGTAATACCACCTACAAACTCATTACGAATGTGTTAACGAATAGATTGAAAGGTGCGATCCAAAAACTAATAGGGCCCCACCAATCAAGCTTCGAGCCTGGTAGACAGATAGCTGACAACATTCTGGTTTATCAGGAGGTCCTGAACCTTATGAAGTCTAAAAGAGGTAGCTTGGGACTAATGGTTCTGAAGATCGACCTAGAAAAAGCATATGATCGCGTAACTTGGGCATTCATCGAAGAGACCCTCCAGGAAGCTGGCTTCACTCAGCTGGATTACAATCATAATGGCTTGTGTTACAACGTCAAAATTAGCCATCAATATCAATGGGAAGCAGTCAGATTGGTTCAAGCCAAAGCAGGGGGCATCCGCCAAGGAGACCCAATATCCCCGCTGCTCTTTGTCTTCTGTATGGAGCGCTTAAGTCATCTAATCAGTGAGAAGGTCAACTCTGGAGAATGGAGAGGCATTCAAATGGCAAGAGATGGCCCATGGTTACCCACCTACTATTCGCAGACGATATGGTGTTGTTTGGAGAAGCAATATCCCAGCAAGCCCGAATCATTAAACATTGCCTTGATGCTTTTTGTGACGCTTCGGGCCAACGTGTAAACTCCAGCAAATCTTCACTCTATTTTCTCTAATAATACTGCCCAAGAAGTGCAGCAAATCATCTCGGTTCAGCTTAACATTCCTAAGTCTAATAACCTTGGTAGATACTTGGGGGTACCCTCATTGCATGGAAGATTGAAACAGGAGTCCTTTGATGGGCTGATTCACAGAATTCGGGGCAAACTAGATGGCTGGAGGATGAAGACCTTATCATTTGCCGGAAGGAGAACACTTGCGCAGTCAGTACTATCGGTTATCCCCCTATATCCTATGCAAACCATGTTACTACCAGTAGGGTCACGAAAGCTATTGAGAGATTGATCCGCGAATTCTTATGGGGAGGATTTGAGGGCGAGAGGAAGTGCAGTCTCGTATCTTGGGAAAGTAGTTGTGCAAGACAAAGATGCGGGGGGCTTAGGTTTGCGGAGGCCTAGAAGCGATGAACTCTGCCCTTATAGCCAAACTGGGATGGAGGTTGCAAGTAGGGGACGACTGCTTCTAGACAAGAATCTTAGAGCTAGGTATCGCATTCAAAGCCTAGATCCAGCTACATGGCAACCTCGATCATCCATGTCCAATGCATGGAGGGCAATCCTGAAGGTGATACCGCTATTAAAAGAAGGGACCAGATCTGTTGTTAGAAACAACATGGCTACATTGTTTTGGCTTGATGCATGGCTTGGCCATCGACCTTTGATCGAAGCAGTTTTTGCTGTCCTACCATTACCAGTTATGTATGCTCGGGTTGCCTGACTATTGGAACGACACAACTGGCTAGAATTGGGGAGAGCTAAGGTACCTACTACCGCAAGAATTGCAGGACAAACTATCAGCAATATCATTGATCGACGACGATGAGCAGCATGACGACTTAGGTTGGGGTGATGAGAAGACGGGTACTTTTTCTGTTTCTTCAGCTTACTCAATGATTACAAAGAGCTCAGGGGCCACCAGCACACAAGCTTGGAGCAATATATGGAAATTAAAAACGCCTAGTCGCATACACACTTTTCTTTGGCTGGCAAGATTGGATAGGTTGATGACTAATGCAAATAGAGCCAAGCATGGCCTAACGGAGGAGTCTAGTTGTGGACTTTGCACCAACATTGAGGAAACATCAGAACACATTCTGTGCTGCTGCCCCAGGCTCTGCAAGTATGGGAGTCTATCATGCCAGGAATGATCCGTGCGAATCAAGACAAGTCGTTTGTAGACTGGCTCAATGCAAGCATTAGGGGTTTCAATAACAGGAACCGACACACAAAAATAACATCTTGTTCGCGGTAACACTATGGTGGCTATGGAAGTGGAGAAACGACAGAATTTTCAACAATAAGATAGTAGGGATCCACTATAAAAGCTACTGGGTCCAAGTCCAAACACAAGAAATAAACAAAGCTTTCGAGAGGGAGAACCTTGCAGGGGCTTGGTCTTCTACAAAAAGATGGAATCTGATTAGGTGGACCAAACCTCCCAAGGGGTGGATTAAAGTAAATATTGATGGCAATTTTAATCCAAGCACAGGTCGAGCAGGCTGTGGAGGTTTAGGTAGAAATGAGAGAGGAGACTGGGTTGCAGGCTTCGTCCATGGAATTGGTACTTGTTCTGCAGAAAGTGCCGAAGCCTGGGCCTTGCTTAGAGGCATTCAGCTTGCTTAAATACTCGGTAATGTCAAAGCCTACTTCGAAAGTGACTCAAAGAGGATCGTCGACGCTATTTCCCAGGGGGCAGCAGTAGGGAATGTTGCTAGCAATGTCCTCCATGCATGCAAGCAAGAGCTGGGAAAGTTATCTGCTTGGAACCTAACCTTCGTGCCCAGAGATCAGAATCGTGTTTCAGACTTACTAGCAAAGAAAGGTGCTGGCCAAAAAGGGACCGTGATTCTTCATTATACCCCTGAGGATATTGGGCAACTCCTAAAGGAATATAAGGTCGGAGTGCCAATTTGATCCCAATAAGATGTATCTCATATGTAGTTTCTGGGTCGCCCCTTCCAATTAGATAAAAAAAAAAAAAAAACATTAAAAGTGGCATCACACAAGCATATATTGGTCCCACACTCTCACCATCATATTTAACTATAGTTAGCTGATTAACAAATGTTGAAAACTTAGAATGGTATCAAATAAACTATTTTTGTAGTATTACTATTTGGCGTTTGAGAATTTGCATAAAGTATGCGTGTACCGTTTTGAGAGCTAGAAAAATCATCTAAGCAATGTATATTATAAATGGAATTATATATTCGAAAAGTTTTTTAAAAATATGTTTGTAAATTTTTAAAATGAAAAATTATCCAACTATCCAAGCAATGTTTGTTGTAGACTTGAGTAATTAGGTTGGGTGAAAAACAAAAAGGTAAAAGGTTGAGGGTGAGGATGTAAAAAGGAAGAGAGTTCTATCCCCTTCTCCGTAGTCATTCGTCAAATTTATAACCCTTTTCCGTTAAATGGCCGTAAGGCCTTTTGGATTCATCATTCCTCGCCACCACCGCAACCGTCATCTCCCTCCAATTTCGACGTCGTTTGCGTCCACTCTCATCGCTCTCTCTCTTCTAGGGCGTCGCTTCCTCTCACGCTCCAACAGGTCAAACCGCCGCCTCCATCTTCGTCGCAATCGAAACAGCTACCGGAAAAGCTGGCGCAGAAGATAGGAAAAGCCATTCGCCGCCCGGGGCGCGGCCTCCAAGTCCCGGGTTTATTCCGATGTTAATGTTATCCGGCCCAAAGAGTATTGGGACTACGAATCACTTACGGTTCAATGGGGGTAATTAATTGAGTCATATATGAATTAGTATCCGTTCGTTTTAGCGATTGAGCTTAATAAAGTTTTTATTTTTTGTGTATTAATTGGCTGTGCAGGGAGCAGGATGATTACGAGGTGGTTAGGAAGGTCGGAAGGGGGAAGTATAGTGAGGTTTTCGAGGGCATCCACACCACAGATA